ACAAAAATGTATCAAGATCTTAAGGGATGAAGAAGGACATAGCAGATTTCATAATTTGATGCTTGACCTGCCAGCAGGTGAAGGCCCCAAGACAGTGCCCAGCAGGATTGCTACAGCCCTTGAAGGTCCTTCAGGGGAAATGGGAAGCAGTTTGTATGAATTTTATCTCCGGTTTGCCCAAGACCAAGTCGAGTTTCAACGTAATCTGGGTAGTTGTTGACAGACTTACCAAGATGGCTCACTTCATCTGAGGCAAATCTACATATTGTGTGGATCGGTGGGCTTAGCTGTATATCAGAGAGATAGTACGCCTACATGGTGTACTAGTGTTCATAGTATCAAATCGGGACACCAGATTCACCTCTCAGTTTTGGAAAAGTCTCAAAAAAGCATTGGGAACTCAGCTAAGGTTTAGTACAGGCAGACAGATCGAAAGACTGAATCAAATCTTAAAAGATATGTTGCGAGCCTGTGTTATGGATTTCGCTGGGCGTTGGGATGAACATCTACCTCTAATAGAATTTTCTTACAATAACAGTTATCAAGCGACCATCCAGATGGCCTCTTTTGAGGCACTGTATGGGCATAGGTGTCGAACACCGGTATTTTGGGAAGAAGTAGGCACGCAGCAACTACTATGACCAGAGTTCGTTCAGGTCACCAACGCAGCGGTATAGAAAATTAAGCAAAGAATTCTCACCGCACAGAGTCGACAGAAGAGCTATTCAGATTTGCGTACAAGGGATCTCGATTTCGAGGTGGGTGACCATGTGTTCCTGAAGGTAGCCCCTATGAGGGGGTGATTGTTGTTTTGACTGAGGAGGAAATCTTTGACAAGGACAAAGCCAAAGGAAAAATCTTGGGAGAAGAAAATAACTTAAAAACAAAGAGAGATAATATTTGCACTAAGACCAGGTGATTTTATTTCTCATTCAATTGTAATATTTAAATAACAAATTATATCCTAAAAATGGAAAGAAGTGGGCAACTTAATTAAAGCCCTTCCATTCGACGTGGACTCCCCGCTCGCTTTAATTATGTGGGTTTAACAGAAAAATAGTTACCTAAAAAAATAGTAACTAAAAATTAGGAGTGATTTTCAACCTAGGGATTTATATAAGAGTGATGAGGTTTGGAAGGAAGAAAAGTCAAGGTTTATAGGCCTTTTCAAGATTTTAGAGAGAGTTAGGGTCGTGGCTTATAGTATTACTCTACTACCAAACCTTGCTGTCATTCACAACGTGTTCCACGTGTCTATGCTACGAAAATACACTCCAGACCCTGCTTATGTGATTGAACACGAAACTTTCCCCTTCGGGAAGATATGTCCTACGAGGAAAGACCCAATAGAATTTTAGCTCGAGACACTAGGCAACTACATAACCAAGTTATTCATTTAATGAAAGTCGCATGTGGTAAACATCGAAACGAGGAGGCGACCTGGGAATAGGAAGATGATGTAAGGAGAGCCTATCCCGAACTCTTCCAAGAGATACCAACTTTCAAGGACGAAAGTTTCTAAGGAGGGGAGAGTTTGTAACGCTTAAAAAAAAAGGTTTGTCAAAGTCAGAGAGGCAAAATAGGCATTTTGCCCCTTAGCCCATTATAGGGGTCTTGAGGATTTTCCATAGAACACCTGCAAAAGAGAAAAGTGTGAGGAAGAAACTTGAGAGGGAAAGCATACCGTCGGGCTTCTCGTCAGAGAACCATCATCGAAGTTCATTCTCAACCAAGACATACACGCTGATGTTTCTTCTTGAAGAAAAGGAGGACTCGTGTTGTTAAGAGGTTCCATTTTCTATCAAGATCCAAGGGAAATCCACAAGGTAAGATCTTGAACGTTCCTTTTCAGATCTGAGATCTTCATTTAGAAATAGAGTGCTAAAGTTTGCTACCTTTATCTAGGGAAGATCTGCCGCTGATTTCGTGAGGAAAATCAGATGAAACGTTGAGATCTGAGAATCTTTCCAAGAACGGTAAGGATATTAACGAACCTCCTTTCGACGCTCATAATTCTTCGTATGATTAAGTAAAAATCAAGAAAAAATACTGGCATGTAGGTTGTAGTATGATCTAAAACTTTGTTGAAGAAGTCATTTCGGTTTGGATTAAAAATCGAGAGATAGAAAAATGAGAAGAATGTCGAAAAACTAATCGGAAACCTCGTTTTTCTGCTAAGAGGAGAGAGAAGGCGACGATGCGCCACGTGTCAACCGGCACGAGGTCTGCGTGGGCCGATAACCATCAGACACGCGTCGAACGCCGCTTGGAGCAATGCGGTTCTAGCCTTCCAGCGACATGCGTTCGCGGCAGCATCAACCAACCCATGTCCTCCGCCAACTCGATACCCGCGTCCTCATCCAACCCGGTACCTGTGCGACGAGACAAACCGCAACGACCTGCGGTCCACCTGAACCAAATCGACGACCCGCGGTTACAACAAAAGTGTGTGCGCATGGCACTCGTGCGTGGAACCTGTGAGTGAGCTTGTCCCGGCGCGTGGCTAGCACATGGAAGCCCGTTTTCATCCTGTTCGACTCCTGTTTTCTCTATTTTACTCCCGAATCCAATCCTAACTCTATTTTATATGAAATAGAATCTAATTGAGAAAAAATCAGTATTTTTGGACACGCTAATTGTGTGGAAACGCTAACGTAAGGGCACGCGTCATCCAAGTAAGTCACCACACGGAACTTTAGGAAGAAATACTTGTAGGAGTCACTTGGTTGTGCATGCATGCATGCTAGTTTAATTACCTTATGTGGTAGTTTTCCATGTTTGAATATAGGTAATTTGTTTCTTAAGAGTACGGATGTATTATGTGAAGTATTTTTTGAATTATGGATGTATTATGTGAAGTATTTTTTGAATTATTTGAGTGTTGCAATTATGTTTTAAGCTTCCGTATTATATGTATATGTTTAATTCATGCTGAACGAAGGATGAGAACTTGTGAACTCTACGCTTTAAGAGTTAATGGATGTTATCGCCCCGATGAGCATGTATGTTTATTTTGCATGAATTTCGTAGGTGCACACTCAGTTAATTTTCATGACCCACAGGTAAAGTTTAGGGATTTGTGGTTAGAGTGACAAGTCACTAAGGTATAGACCTAACTTTTTCCCTAGTAATAGACCACCACGGCATACGAATCATCTCTAGAGTACCCTTAGACTACATGTGTGTGATTGGTGTCATAGCTTCATGGGGGACCAAGGGGTTCCTGATCAGAATACGACTGCTCTTAGCTATTTTAGCATGGAAAAAGTGTGCCCACGTCGTATAGACCATTTAGCTGGATGGGTTAAGGGGGGTAGCTCTCCCCGACTAGGGGGACTGTCATGGACCTAGGGGGTTGCAGCTCACTTCCTAGGTACGATACTAGATAGTCTCAAAGCCATGCTGAGGTAGCTACTCGTAGGGCACCAGTCATTACACAGGTCGGCATAAGGGAACTCTTAGGGTCTTTAAATGAAATGACAAAGAACCAAAGAAGCCGCAAGGAGCTAAAACGAAAACTAGATGTCCTAGAGCTAAAGTAAAGTCCGTGGGAGTTTGTTAAGATTAAAATGCGATAAGAGCCTACAAGTAGGTGGCTTACTGGGTATAATTTTTATACTCATTCTTGCTATCTCTTCCTTTTTCAGGTACGTGAGGCGTTGGGTCTAGAGAGGGCGCGTTGAAAGATATGGATTGTCACAGAGGAAGCGTGTCTCGGGGCGTCAATCCGGTCTTACCTATTAGTACACTTTGTCCTTCATGTTTTCTTTCTTTGTCTAAAACTAGTCACCTATGTTCTCTTTGTATTGAAACGCTCTTATTAAGAAATAAATGATTGATTTTTCTTAAATAATATTTTCCTTTGAATTCCTTGCATACACACTACACGTCTAGTCATTGTAAGTCACGACTTGAGATATAATTTTTGGGTCGTGACAAGTATGTAAGACTCTTGGTTAAATTATGATCTGTCTATTAAACGCTCTGGTACCCTGAAATAGCTCACAACTGTAGCTCAAGAATACTCATGTCCCTAACTTAGCACCCAACACATCGATCAAGGGGTTTTATAGGGTTTAGTAGACTAATGGGTAATATTCCCTCCCAACCTATCATCCATCCAACTAAAAATGTACGTAAAACCTAATCATTGCTATAGTTCGTTTATTGAACTCCTAATGGTTCCTACATCGTACTACCATAACTAGAGTATTTTCATGCACGTTAAATCACATGATAGGTTCATAACCATAAACTAGAGACACAACATACATAAAAATTTCTAACATGCTCGTATTCCAATCATGTGAACATACCCATCAATAGTTAGGTCATACTACTAACATTCAATCAATGTAACTAATTTTGTCCCTTAACTTCTTTTCTTGCTTAATATGACCCTAAATTTGCTATCTCTTCCCAATTTATTCCAATTGAACCTATTTTAAAAAAATTTAAGAGCCAATGTGGATCAATATTAATATAACAGGAAAAAAAAAATAGGAGTCGAATGGGATGGACTGAAGCAAGCTACACGCACCACCACACACTCTCACGTGTTTGTCTACCCTCACACGCTCTCATGTGTCTTGTCTACCTTCACACGCTCTCACGAGCCTATCTACCCTCAGCCAAGTGCACCCCACACGCCTATCGTCGTCGTCGTCTTACTCGCATTTTTTGCAAAATTTCAAATCTTTTCTCCAAATACCGATTATGTCATCGAACTCAATTCTTTGGCTATGCCCAATATCCCTTCTCGATTTCTTCTACAAATTTGTTGATCTAATACCTCCAACATTCGAACAAAACAAATGAAAACTTGAATCCCAGTCGAGATTTTTGTAGAATATATCTCGAGAAATAATATATTTTTATTTTTGTTCTTTTATAGTTTGGTTCCCAACCAAGATTGCCAACGAAAAGGTACACTAAACAAAAGTTTATGAAATGTGCCATTTATTATATAAAACCAAACTATTTGTAGCCATTACCCAAAATTAAGTGTGTTTATTTTGGTTTCTTCCATCACTGGCGGTACTGTTGTCTCCATCCCTTCAACGAACAGAGCGGTGGTGGCTCTCGATAAACGGGTTTGTGGATGCAGGGAGTGATGAACGGATTAGGGCAAGCCAGCGGCGGTCTCTCCCAAAGGACCGTTCTGATCACCGGAGTCAGCAAAGGACTTGGCCGAGCTCTTGCCCTCGAGCTCGCAAAGCGTGGCCACTCTGTAATTGGCTGCTCTCGTTCTCAAGATAAACTCAGTTCCCTCAATTCCCAGCTCGTTTCATACGACACGTCTTCCCCTGATAAGCATTTTATACTCCCTGCCGATGTGGTTAGCATTTCCGCCTCATCTCTACATTCCAATCTCTGTTTCTGTCCCCAAGTTTGTTTTCGAGGAATGTGATCGCCCAATGTCGCTTGCAGAGGTCTGATACCAGCGTTGAAGAGCTTGCACGTGTTGTTGTTGAAAGGAAGGGCGTTCCTGATATCATTGGTATTTTCTTTTCCTTCTCTTTTATCTCCAATTGTTCGTCATTGAACTGCCGTTTTTCAGTTTTAGAAATGTTTATGGTTGTGAAACTCGAATCAATTCTAAGGTTTTTGGAAATCGTTATGGCGTTCCTGAGGTGATTCAGGGAGTCTTGTGTTTGGATCTTGTTCTTGATCTGGTCGAGTGATATCATTTTATGATATTGAACCATCCATGGTTCTTCTATTTAATGACATAATGGTACTCAAAAATAGGAACGATGTTGCCCTAGCCAACATATGCCTCCCTGGAGTTGCAATTGAGATGGAATCATTTTAGTGTGAACTTCTAAATCTTTATGACCTATGTATTCCCTTGACTTGAGAAGCTTGACATACAATACGACTGAGAATATAAACTCCTGGCTTCTATTGTAATCCACTTCTCTTCTTGCTTATTTTTTTGCACCTTGTAGAACAGTAAAACTCCATGCCCATAATTTAGATCAGTAATACCTTCCGTCCAATGGCCTTCTGAGGCTCCACACGTGTCTCCTCGCAATGTGTAGTGCAATGGCCCAGTGGAACCACAAATTTAGCCTGTTGCCAGGTCTGCATCTCTACGGAAAAAAAAAAGGCTCGTGGACTTTCTTGGGTCCTTTGAGGATCAATTAGCCTAGGATAGGCTTCACACTTAGAAACACTTCAAAATAGACAGACAACATGATCATGTCGCAGGGGATGCATGGAAATAATAGGGCCATCAAGTGCCGACTTTGAATTCCAAATCCTAGCTAGGCATGGGTCATTATAGATGGTAATAGAGTTAGACCTCTCTCCCAATTCCAAATCCTATCTGGTAACAGAGTTAGACCTCTCCCAATAAGATGTGTTCAAGAACAAACCAAGTCTCCCAATAAGATGTGTTCAAGAACAAACTAAGTCATAAGCTGGCAGGTGTATGAGAGAGGTCTTTTAAGTATTTAATTGTTGAGAAATGCTTAAAAGAATTAAAAGTTATTACTTATACAAACAAGATGCATTTTTTTTTTCGGTAGCTTAATCGTAAGAACTCCAAAGTTGGTTTGTGGGGATAGTCTTTACTATTTGAAGTAGTTCAAGACAAGTGGATTTCAAATCTTGGGATCAACGTTATAGAAACCGATCTCTTCTTAGTTGCTCATTGCATTTGTGTGCTTCGAAAATTCTGGGAAGCAACCAGTCAATGGTCATTCTCTTAGGAAAAGAGTCAATATTTTGTGAACTTATACCCTACCCAAGTCATCATGGCATTTCTGTTTAATAAGAAAGGAAAATAGGAAGTTGTGGGAGTTTACGATGCTCATGTTCTTTTTTGGAAAACATGGGGCAAGTCAGTATGTACTAAGATACTATTAGCAGAAGAAGCGGATCAGATTTCTCCTTCCAAAATGCAAAATATAGAAGGCAATAAATATCAAAATTTTAATTTTGACGATATAGAGCCCATCAACAGTAAAAGGTAAAAGCTACCTAATTCTAAATAATTTCCATTCTAGCAGAATAAATGACTTATTTACACCTCCCCCTATCCCCATTTGTTGTACTAAAACAAAAACAACTTATTTATACCATTGTAATTATTCCCCACCCCAATTTTTTTAATCTTTATGGAAAATTCTTGTATGAATACCTAGTCTTTGACGTTGTTATTTATTAGTTTGATTCTATTACACCTAGTTATGGAATTTGCCTCTTTTAACCAGTGTAGCATTTACAATGAAGTCATGGTATGCTTCTTTTTCTATTTAAGATTGTTTCTCCGATTTACATTCAATTATGTAATAGCTTAGTGGAAATTGTTGGTGCCTAGCAATTACTTGCAGTATACAAACTCTTCTGTTTCCCATTATAGGGAGATTGATTTATATGTAAGACTGAACCATAGTTTGTTTGGTTATCGCCAGTAAATAATGCAGGTACTATTAATAAGAACGCGAAGATCTGGGAGGTTCATCCAGACGAGTTTGACGCTGTCTATGAGACAAATGTCAAGGGGACTGTGAACATATTACGTCACTTCATCCCACTTATGATTCCAAGCAAGAAAGGGATTATTGTGAACATGTCATCTGGTTGGGGGAGATCTGGTGCTGCCCTGGTACGCCGAAATCTATAATCTAAAATTTATCTAATTTCCATTAAGGGTGTATTTTTCGTTCCCTCAGTATTTCAATTGTCATCACAAGTTTTTACTCGAACATATATTGGGTTATCCTGTGTATCAGGCATAAATTATGATATACAATAAAATTTTCTGGCAATTCCTATTTATACTTGGCCTGATTGATGTATGAAATTTATAAAATATAGGAAAAACCGGGTCGTAATTCAAAGGAGTTGCAAGAAATTTTAGGAATGGGACAAAAGTGTAGCATACCCATAAGATTGAAAAACCAGTAAAAGGACAAGAACATTATGAAAGGATAAGAAGAAACAGAACATGTAGAAGCTATGGTTAAATTTTAGTAGGTTTTGATTTATTTATTTTTTACTGGATTATGAATTTAGGTGGGAACTAAAAATGGTTGATCATGTTCATCAGCTCACATGAACTCCTGTTAACATGTATTTTAATGGATTGCAAAAAGCATCCATAAGATCATTGTGATACCATTCACTGTCAAGCGGGGTTAGGAAGAAAGCCAATAAACTAATATTTCGAGAACATCTTGTAGGTTGCACCTTATTGTGCTTCAAAATGGGCGATTGAGGGTTTAAGTAGATCAGTAGCAAAAGAAGTGCCCGAGGGAATGGCAATAGTGGCCCTTAGTCCAGGAGTTATAAACACTGACATGCTTGCCTCATGCTTTGGCGATTCAGCTTCTTTGTACCAATCTCCTGATACATGGTATAGTATGATGCTTTATTTCCTCCACCAATTTGGTTCACTCTGCAAGCAAAAAGAAAAGCATATTGTTCCTTTAAATTTCTTACGCTTGAACATAAAGGGGATGTTAGCAGATGGAGACCTGAAAGTGATACTAACTTTGTAAATCATTGTATTAGGGCTTTGAAGGCAGCCACGATGATTCTGAATCTTACGGCAGCAGATAATGGTGCATCTCTCACCGTCTGATTCGGGCTCTCTTGCTTGTCTCTACTTTAACCTTTTAATTTCCATGGCTTTGACATTAATAGAAGATGGATTGACATCACACTTCTGAATGAAGTAATGCGAGACAAAACACAAGTTTGGACAGAACATAATCAGTTTTAGAACATAATCAGTCTTAGAATGTAATTTTATATAATTCCATACTTCAGAACAGATGTCCGACATTCTACTTGTCGGTTCACAGTATAAGATACTGTTGGACTCTTGAAAAAAACTATTAAATTACTAAGATACTGTTGGACTCTTGAAAAAAACTATTAAATTACCTACAAATTGAGTACTCTTACGTTTGTATGATGATGCCCTCAATATTATTTGATTTGATATACTTTATTAATAGTTTATATATATATATATATATATAAAGGGATATGCTTGAAATGAATTTTGAATGGGTAACATTCCTCCTTTATAATAATAATAATAATTAAAAAAAGATTAAAAAAATTACTTTAAACCTAGCCATTGACTTAAATATTACTAAATTCATTTCAAACAGTAGAATTATAAAATAACACAAACATTATGACCTCTTCAGTTGACGTAGTCGATGGAAGATGGGAGACTTACCTTTATTTGAAAGAATAATAAACATGGTTTTAGTACTACTTACCTTTATTTGAAAAAATAATAAACATGGTTTTAGTACTGAAAAATACTCCGTAAGTAGTTGTACTGTTGGGATAGAAAAATGCAATCATGTGGAATTTCACAGTGAGATCTAACTTTTCGTGACTATTTTGGGGCTCTACTTCTTTTTCATGTAGTGTTGGATGCATAGTATTTCTCTATGAATGGTTCACGCACACACGCATGAACCCATTGGTCGGAGCTCGTATACATACCCCTACACTTGATTATAGATTAGCGCATGATTCTTACCTAATATGTAACAACCGTGGGTTTTGGGAAAAAAATTATTACCCACTTCTCCCTGAATCTCCCCTGTGTTAAAGATATTTAGTTTTGAATTATGGTTTAACGTATGTATCATATTTGACTGTTTATTATAAGCAAATATCTGTCTTCCATTACGACTTACCACATGTATCATATTTGACCTTTTATTATAAGCAAATATCTTGTATTCATTTATTATTCTTTTCATTTATTGTTTTTTCCATCTCATTGGTAATTACCATAATTCTCTATTCCGTAAATGACTATAAATAGATAACTTTCACCACCATTTAGATGGGGTAGTTTTAGCAAATATTCTCATAGTATTAGAGCCATTCTAACAACTCTATCCTCTCTTCTCTATGGCTTCCAAATCCTCTTATGATCTTCCTTTCAACACTCTAATGCATATGATCACCATCAAACTTTCTTCATCCAATTATCTTCTTTGGAAAAGCCAACTTCTTCCTCTCATTGGGAGTCAAGACATGCTGGGTTATGTTGACGGAACTATGGTTCCACCACCTCGCTTTGAACTAGAAACCTCCTTCAACACTCAACGCTAAATATTTGGCATGAAAAGCAGCCGATCAATGGCTTCTTTGTCTCCTACTCTCCTCTCTCACCGAGGAAGCCATTGTTGTCGTCGTTGGTCTCTCCACTGCACGTGACGTGTGGCTTGTGTTGGAAACTAAATTCAGCCATCATTCGAAAGCTCATGAACTGAGACTCAAGGATGACTTGCAGCTAATGAAACATAGCACCAAAACCTGTTGCTGAGTATGCCCGTGCCTTCAAAATAATTTGTGACCAACTTCATGCCATTGGCAAACCCGTTGGGGATATTGATAAAGTGCACTAGTTCGTTCGTGGACTCAACACAAAATTTTCAACTTTTTCTATTGCGCTCTCACCCCTCTCCCCTGTTTTGTAGATTTAGTCTCTAAAGCTGAAAGTTTTGAGTTGTTCCAGTGCTCCCTTGAGTCTTCTGATTCCACTCCTACGGCATTCACAGCCACTATTCATGGTCGCACCCATGGAAGTTACCCTATTTCCTCTATCAACTAGCGAGGTCGTTCTCATTCTCACAAAAATAACTCTTCCAACTAAGGAAAAACACACTCAGGTCAGGGTCGTCGACCAACTTGCTGCCAAATATGCCGCACGAAGGGCCATTATGCTGACCGCTGCAACCAACGATATGTTCGACCTGATTCTGCTCATGCTCACCTTGTTGAAGCCTTCAACACGTCTTGTTCTGTTGCTGGACCCGATGTTGTTGATTGGTTTTTGGACACTGGGGCTTCAGCCCATATGACCGCTGACCCATCTATTTTGGATCAGTCTAAATATTACACAAGTAAGGACTCTGTGATCGTAGGAAACGGTATATCCCTACCCATTCTCCACTCCGGTACTCTTTCTTCTATTCCAAATATTCATTTATTACATGTCTTAGTTGTCCCTCAACTTACTAAAAATCTTATTTCAATTGATAAATTAACATTTGATTTTTCTCTATCCGTTACATTACTAATAATCTTCTTACTATCTAGAATCGTCAAATAGGAAAGGTCGTGGCAGCCGGTAAAAAGGGTGGAGGGCTATATGTGCTGGAGCGCGGCAACTTATAAAAAAGTGATGTTATGAAAAAAATGGAAGTACGATGTGCATCATAACCATGTACTATAATTTGAAATTACATGATATCATGCATGTTGTATTTCACGAGCATGAGATATTTTTTCAGTATGTTTTGTACATATACGTACACCATGATATATATGCGCTCCTTTCTTTTCTTTAATTGTCAATGGTGTGAGAGTGCATTAATCTTTAGTCATGTCTAGTGAGTATGTATATTAGCTCGCCTAGTGGGTTCATGCACTATGCCTAAAGAAGAACTATGCATTTAATCCTACCCGAAAAAGAAAGTATAGACCAAGGAATAGTTATGAAAAGATAGGTCCCACCACGAACCAAGATTGCATGTCCTGATCTCAACAATGGGGTTACTTATTAAATATTTTTAAATACTCAAACCATGTTTACTATTTTTCAAATAAAGGCAAGGCTCCCATGTATGGATGACAACATCAGCTGAGTCGTGGAAACGAAGTCACGATAGTTAGATTTCCACATTTAAGTCATAATCTGTAACGATCGGTTAATTTAAAAAAAAAAAACCAGTCGCCGAAATACCGCAATGCATGTGGAAACACGACCCCAGCCTCCACGGATTGCCAGACGAGTACCTTCCACGTTGCTTCCGTCTGCCATTCAATCCCTTAGAGCCTACAAAGAGAAGACGAAAGGAAAAGTCGAGAGAGAGAACACCGAGTTGTTTTTTGACGAGAGTCCGAAGCAAAACCCACGGCCTAAACAACCATACCCGACGTTGAAACGTTTGATTAACGCCACGAGAAGGATCCCCGACGATTGCACATCAACCTAGGGCACACCCTTTTCTTACAAATAAATTGAACCTTTTAGCGTTACTATGATCTAGCACGGGGATCTTATGGACCAACTGATTATAAGCTCCAATGATATAAAATTAATTAATTAAACTCTTTAATTAATCCATTTCCACTCATTAATTATAGGTCACTCCACTATAGACCTAGAGTTGCACTCTTATACACTTTAGGACAAGTTATGTCCATTGATATAATCATTACAAGCAAGTTGATCATTCACGAGTTGTTCATAATTACAGTAGGGTCAAAAGTCTGTTTTACCCCTGTAATTATATCTTTCACCTTAAGTACCGCCGATTCTCTACTGAACAATTTGTTTATAATCCAATCACAAACCAAGTCCCTCTCACGTCAATGAAAGGGTGGGGCCCTATTGTTCAAGTCCAGAAATCAGTACTCATCTACCTTCTTTATATGGAAAGAAGTGAATTCCATCCGATGATATTATGTTCCCAACTCCCTATTTGGTCAAGTCCTCAAAATGGTAGGCATATTGAATCGGCTAACAGGGTCATTCTCACCTATGTAAATTAAAGGACAAACCCTCACAAGCCGGAATTCACAACTCACTCAGGATTAAGATCGAGTCGCATATGATCATCATGTGAAATATTAATCTTCTCAATTAATATATTTATAAAGAGAGATTAAATATTTTTTGGTCCAGTCTTATACAAACTCATTGTATAGGATACCCCCACTTACATGTCTTCACATGAGCAATTTGGATCAAATCATTTGTAACGATTACAAAGTGAGTCGTATCAATAGTGTTACCAAGATAAGACATCCAACCTTATCCATATACTATAGACCCTTTAGGTTATTACTTGAATGCGATCCTCTTGTATGTCAACCACATACGGTTCAAGATTACACTAATAACCTTGGATTTTTGGATAATAATAAAATTACAAATAAAATAATAAAAATTATGGTTAGAAATTAAATAATTAATTACGAGGCTTTAGGACATAAATCCCAACAGTATCAACCTGCGGCAAAAATCAGCCCTCGGCTTAGCGACTTGGCTCGGCTTCCCTCGACTCCACAACTTATTCAGCTCGAATTTCCAATTTATAGCCAGATTTCTACCATTTCGGCCCTTTCAAACATGTTTTCGGTTCCGATTAAGGTAATTGAAATCATTTTAGGACCATATTTGACGTTTAATAGTTGGATATTATTAAATTGTGAAATATTAACGAAAGGTGACGAACCGTTTGATAGGAAACGAACCCCAACAACATTTGGAGCAGCTCTCGAGGAACGATTAGATAGGATAGGCTAGAAATTGAATGAGTTATGATATATGACTTATTGTGATGACGTACGATGATGTATGCGATATTTATGATTTATGATGTATGAGCTGTATCATATGAGGTTGTATGCTAGTTATATGATGATGTATGAACTATGATATATGATGATGTATGAGCTATGATGCATAATGATGTCTGACGTACTTAACATGTTTGGTGCATTTAATGGCGATATGATGAGTATGATATTTTTGCATGATGTTTACCTTAATATGATGATGTTTTCCATATTAAGCATGTTGTATGATGATGAATGTCATAGTGCATCATGTCGATAGATTGACCTAGGACACAACCCTAAGAGTATGAATAATGATTTTAATATAAGTATCTAATGAGCATGCATTACTACATGTAATATAGAGATAAGGCTAGGGTTGTGTCAGAAGAGATGTTAAGATGAGAATTAAAGGGACCTCGTGCATATTGTGTGTACACGAGTATCGAGATACTTTCCCTTGAGATGATGAGTGCGGACGCGCACAATATGATGATGACAGTGATCATGGTGAGCATGACAT